GGTGCGTTTGCTATACTTTTTAAACGAGTGTCGTAGCAGTGCATCCTTAGAGGCGGTCTTGTGATTTTGTGTAATTCAGGGAATGACCGTAAGTAGGACCTTAAATTCATTACTTTTGATTAAATATGCCTTGACGGTCTGCACATCCGTACAGCTTGGATAGCCCCTCTTTTAACTCCAAACTCGCAGCTAAGATATGAGTATGGAATTCGTGCCTGTTAGCATCGCATTCCACATCCCTATTGCATTTTCCGTCTTCAAAAGGCACTGATGTAAGGACTGGCACATCATTGCAATGATGGCATAGGAGTAGTAGAAATATGGAACATTTTGGTGCGAGAAATCACCTAGTTATGGTTACTCAATTGATTGTTAGGAGAATGCTACTGCTATTTTTAAGTAGTACCTACCATCCGTTTTTTATTTAAATCTACACATAGAAGAGCATTAAGTTGGTTTGACGACCTCCTTTTTTTGCCGATCCTAACAACACCTTTTCGTCTTCCTCGTGCAGACTTTATTCCAAAACTGACCGCTAAATCCAAGAGCGTCACCTCCTGCTCCAAACATCCCAAAGTTCTAATGAGCGCAAGGCATCTAATAGTTTCTTTATTTACTTCAATCATATTTGTCAGCAACAGGATCCTACTACTAAATTCGGTCTTTTAAATCCGTGGAGCCAAAAGATGAACCAGCTCATCGGCCCATGATTCACCTACTGTTTCCCAATGCTCATGCAACCATACTGGATGCTAAAAAAGGGAAAGTTAGTTGGTCTTGCTGACGCCTTTCCATGCACAGTTGCTAAGACCGTTGTCTAAGAGCGGCTGAGTTGAGAATAGGTAAGAAGGGGAGGATGATTGGCTAATCCATACGACTGAACCGGTAGACAAGGGTCAAGTGGATGCGTCTAGCCCCATTGTTTGATGGTTTAGGCTAGATGCTGAGCGCATGAAGTAGGTGTGTTTAGGCATCGGCCTCATGATGCGCGTGTGTGTGTGTATGTGAACTTGAGGAGTCATTGGTGCGAGAGATGTGCATGTGCACATCTGAAAGCACATGGGGCAGACGTGTCCACACTCATTGGGTGGGTGTCCACACATGTGTGATGTTGTTAATTTATGCACACAAAAAGGTTACGGCAAGGCGAAATGTGGTGTGTGTGAAGTGGTGGATATTCACTCGATTTGCCATTTAAAATGTGTTGTTGGACCACCCATTCCACCTCCTCCACCTCCTCCTCCTCCTCCTCCTCCGCCTACTCATCGTCTTTCTCCTCCTCCTCTTCCTATTCCCTGAAATACATGTACAATCGGAGCAATTAAAAAGTCTACATGACTAAAGGAAATTTGAGACATTTACTTGGAATTTCAAAGTGAGTTAACTTTACTGTAATGAAATGAAGTTGTTGTGTTAGGTTAGAAATTCGTAGTCTTGTCCGAAATTTGGCTTTACCGGTGATTTACTGTTTGACACTTTCAATTAAACCTTTACTTTAGATGGATTCGGAGATCGTCAGTCGAGCACTAGAAGGTCTTGATAATATAATTTATCACACATTGCAGCCTGAGCGAAATATTTCGGCCCTATGTGGTGGCTGGCTTTGTTCAACGGCGAGGATTGTCGCCCATCTAAATAGCGGAGGCAGACTCTCTACCTGACTTCATTTAAGTGATTAACTTTGCGAGCACCGGAAAATTTTATAAACATCAGTTTTGGTGTTTAGGGAGGTTCTTTTAATGCAGAGATAAAGGAGCGCTAATAGAAACAACACTGACAAGTTTTCAATTGTAAGGTCCAGTCTTGAGGCTTGGGCGGGTTGTCTTTGTTCTTGGACTCTACCGAGGGAGTATAATTTAACAAGTGAACATTTAAGGGCCATCCTAAGTTTACATGTCAGGGAGGTGATGCGTTTCTTAAGTCCGAAAAGTCCTTCCTTTTCAAATGCATGGCATCGAGATGTGAAGTTGCTTTGGTTGATGTTAGACAAAATATGTGACCTTTGCACTGATCATGTAGCATCCCGAGACGTCCTATCACCTAGTAAAAGGAATACCACTTGGATGTATGCATGTATTCAGACGGAAAGGAAAGAGATGAAGCCTTTTGACATAACCCAAAGTGAGCCACCCCAGCCCTCCACCATCGGTACCTGTGATTGGACAACGAAAGCATTACAGATCTCAACCAGGAATGGTTTTATTTGTTTCACTTTTGGTAAATGAGCTAATTGGAATGTAAACAGTAAAGGTCAGTGACCTGAATGACCTCACTTCCCCTGTGGGCCTTGGAAACGTACCAGGCACGTAATCGTCCTCTGAGTCAGACGAGAGCCAAAGGTCTGCGCCTGTGGTCTTGTACTTAACCCTAACATAGCATAAATTATGCATGCAGAACCAAGTTGACTTCGCCCGCCATCCATTTTGTATGCAAATTTTCCATCAAATCGAATACGATTGTGCCTGGTGGCTTCTTGCATCCCGCTAATAGGCTTTAATGTACTAGGCAATGCTACAAACTGCTCTCATAATTTTGCTCCTATGGCACAAAACTCAACGAAACCACATGAACAATCTAACCTTTTGGAAACTTTTGCTAGCTACAATGAAGGTGAACTTTTTAGTGCAAATGCTTAAATCAGGTCAAGCAACAATCGCCGGTGTTAAAAATAGGCACCAAACGTCGGAACGCTTTTGATTAATAAAACAATTTGTGTCAGCCTCACGAGCTTAATCGTGCCTTGTTTTTATGTTCTAAGCTAATTAAGAGAAGGATGGGAATTTTTTTAGGCTTGAGAGTTTGACATGCGCATGGCATCAGTGGTTTAGGAAAATTGTGTCATTTAGATGATTAGTAAAATATAAAATTACTTGAAATAATTGGACTTCTATTAAAGAGAAAATGAATTTTAACGTCCAAATAGGGATAATCATCTGACTGCCTTCAAAAAGCGGTAGGTAAGACTCCGAGTCTTAATGCTACGTGACATTTTGAAGGGACATTGTTCATCTGCTTCAGGTATAATGCCTGAGCCAGCTGATGGAAGAATTTAATGTAAGAGCCGCCTGCCTACCCTCTTGCCCTTGAAATTCAGACTTCAAGAGAGGGTTGGTTGCAGATTATTTATTTGGCATTTGTTACAGGAAGAATGGGGATTGAGATGCAGATGAGCCGAATAGGAGA